GCCCTCACGCCGTCTCGTCATTGCGGAACTCCAGCTCCCCGCTGGCGTCCTCGTAGTCGACGCCGCCGCCGCGCGCCGTGCCCTCCACGGTGCGGAAGGGCACCATGACGGTGCCGCGGGCGCCGGAGCTGCGCACCACCGTCACCTCCACGTGGCCCTGGCACTCGCTGACGCGCACCGAGCGCTCCCGGAAGCCGAAGATGCCGGCGTGGTCGTCGTCCAGGATGGTCACCGTGGCCACCAGCGGCGCCACCAGCTTGCCCTTGGGGTGGTCCTCGGAGTCGGCCTCGAACATGCCCTCGGCGTCGCCCACGCGCAGGTTCAGCAGGCGCACGAAGAAGTGCTCGTCCTCCTCGAAGATGTCGTCGTCGATGATGCCGATGGCCAGCTCCTTGCGCGTCTCGCCCGGCTTGAAGATGAGCGTGCCCTCGCTGTACTCGTAGTCCGAGCCCGCCTTGGCCGAGCCGTCCTCGGTGCGGAAGTCCACGTAGAAGGTCTGGTTGGCGCCCAGGCCCTGCTGGCACGCCACGGCCAGCGTCACCGAGCCGCAGTTCTCCAGGCAGTGGTACAGGCACGGCTCGAAGAAGATGCGGCTGCACGCCTCGTCCTCCTCGTCGTCCTCGTCGTCCTCGCCGGGCAGGGCGGGCGAGCGCCGCGCCGCCTCGGCCGCGTGCTTCTTGAGCACGTTGCCGGCGCCGGTCATGAGCCGCGTGGCCTGGATGCGGTAGAAGGCGCGGCTCTTCTGCTGGTGCACCAGCGCCATGTAGTTGGCGGCGTCCAGGAGCTGCTCCAGCTCCTTCTCCGGGTGCTTCTGCTTCAGGTCCTTCAGGATCTGGATCACCTCGCGCCGGCTCTCGTCCAGCTCCTTCTCCTCGGGCGTCGGCGACGGCGACCCGGCGCCGGGCTCGGGCTCGGGCAGCGCCGGGAAGCCGCCGTCGGCCTCCAGGTCCTTGGGCGGGCGCTCGGCCTCGGTGCCGATGATGATGCCGCTGCGCGGGTCGGCGCGGTAGCGCTTGTAGACGTACTTGTAGAAGAGCAGCCTCTTGTCGGCCGCCCAGGCGAACACCACGCAGGCCGGGAAGAAGAGCAAGGTGAGGAAGGCCTCCCACACCTGCACCACGCCCGGCGTGATGACAGCCAGGATGAGGTAGAGCCAGATGTAGGCGAAGATGCTCCACGAGGCCGTGACGAAGAAGACGCGCAGGTGCTTGATGCGGCGGCTCTCGCCCGCCGGGATGGCGTAGACGCACACGGCGATCACCACGAACATGTTGAAGGCGGCGCTGCCCACGATGGTGCCCGGGCCCAGCTCGCCGGCCTGGAAGCGGTGGCCGCACACCTCGATGAGCGACAGGAGGATCTCGGGCGCCGAGGAGCCCAGCGCCATCAGCGTCAGGTTGGAGACGGTCTCGTTCCAGATGCGCACCGTGCCCACGCTGGTCTCGCCGTTGGCCTTGGTGACGGTGATCTCCTTCTCGCGCGACGTGATCACCTCGATGGAGGCCATGAAGCGGTCGGCGATGATGGACACGCCCAGGAACAGGTACATCATGGCCACGAAGTAGACGATGGCGCGCGCCGCCTTGTCGCCGGCCGCCGGCTCGTCCGGCTGCCACACGGGCCCATGAGGAACCTGCAAGGGGAAATGGGATCAGGGATGTGGGGCTGGGATGTCGGCTGGGATATAAAGCTGGGATGGATCTCTGGGGCTGGTTTAGATCCGTGGGTCTGGGTGGGATCTGTGGGTCAGGTTTGGATCTGTGGGGTTGGTTCAGACCCATGGGGCCGGTTCAGATCCGTGGCTCCGGTTCGGATCTGTGGGTCAGGTTTGGATCCGTGGGTCCAGTTTGGATCCGTGGGGCCGGTTTGGATCCGTAGGTCCAGTCCGGATCTATGGGGTCAGTTCGGATCTGTGGGTCACTTTTGGATCCGTGGGTCACTTTTGGATCCGTGGGTCAGTTTTCCGAACCGGAGCCAGGGATCCAAAACTGACCCAGAGATGCGAACCGGCCCCACAGATCCAAACCGGCCCCATAGATCCGAACCGGAGCCGCGGATCCCTGACCCACAGATCCGAACCGGCCCCATAGATCTGGACGGAACCTATAGATCTGAACCAGCCCCACGGATCCAAACCGGCCCCAGGGATCCCTGACCCACGGATCCATCCCTGACCCACAGATCCGAACCGGCCCCATAGATCTGGACGGAACCTATAGATCTGAACCAGCCCCACGGATCCAAACCGGCCCCAGGGATCCCTGACCCACGGATCCATCCCTGACCCACAGATCCGAACCGGCCCCATAGATCTGAACAGAACCTATAGATCCGAACTGGCCCCACGGATCCGAACCGGACCCAAACCGGAGCCGCAGATCTGAACCGGAGCCAGGGATCTGAACGTGACCCATAGATCCAAACCGACCCCATAGATCGGAACCTGACCCAGGGATCCGAACCGGACCCACAGATCTCTGACCCACAGATCCAAACCAGACCCACGGATCCAACACGGACACGCAGATCCAAACTGACCCCATAGATCCGAACCAGCCCCACGGATCCAAAACTGATCCACAGATCCAAAAGTGACCCACGGATCCCAACCGGCCCCAGGGATCCGAACCAGCCCCATAGATCTGAACCGGCCCCACAGATTCCTGATCCACAGATCCGAAACTGACCCACGGATCTGAACCGGCCCCATGGATCTGAACCTGACCCACAGATCCAAAAATTTCCTGCCCCATTTCCTGCCCCATTCCTGCCCCACTCCTGCCCCATTTCCTGCCCCACTCCTGCCCCATTCCTGCCCCATTTCCTGCCCCATTTCTGCCCCATTTCCTGCCCCATTTCTGCCCCATTCCTGCCCCCCGCTCCTCCCCCCCAGTTAATCCAATTAACACCCCTCGCTACCCCCTCATTAATCAATTAATTAACCCCCGAAGCCCTCGGGGCCGCGCGGGGATTTTCCCAAATCCCTCGGGATTCGCCCCAGTTTCGGGGGATTTTCCTTCAGTCCGAGGATTTTCCCAATTTTCCGGGGTTTTCCCCCGGATTTTGACCCCGAGCTCCCAAAATTCCCGACCCCGCCGGCCCCGGGCGATCCCAAATTCCCGGGAAATTCCCCCAAAATTCCCTTTTTTTGGGCACCACAGACCCAAATCCTGCCTTTTTTTTTTCCCCTGAAAAATGCGGATTTTTGGTGCTTTTGGGTTTTTTTCCGGCGGATTTGAGAAGCGGCGGATTTGGGGGAAAAGCCGGGATTTAGGACAAATCCGCTTTTTCTGAGGGGGGGGGAGAAAAAAGGGGAATTTGGGGGAAATTCTGGGATTTGGGGCAGAATTTTGGGGGAAATTCACAGGAATCTGGGAAATTCGGGGGGAGATTTTTGGGAATTGGGAGATTTGAGGCAAATTTTGGGTTTTTTGGGGGGATTTGAGGGAAATTTTGGGAATTTGGGGGGAGATTTGAAGGAACTGAAGGAATTTGGGAGAATTTTGGGGAGATTTTGGAGAATTTGGGGGAATTCTTGGGGAAAATTGGGGAAATCTGCAGGAATTTGGGGATTTCGGCCAAAATGTGGAGAATTTGTGGGGATTTGGGGGAATTTTGAGGAAGAAACGATGAAATTTGGGAGAAATTTGGGAATTTCAGCCCGAACGTGGGAGATTTGTGGGAATTCAGGGAAATTTGGGGAGAATTTGGGAGAATTTTAGGCCTTTGGGGGAGAAAATGAGAAATTTGGGAGAATTTGAGAGGATTCGGGAGAAAATCTGGGAGAATATCAGGAATTTCAGGGAAATTTGGGGGGAAATTGAGGGAATTTGGGGGATTTGGGTGAATTTGGGGAAAATTCTGGGGAATTTTGGGGATTTCAGGAGGAAATCCAAGGAATTTCGGTGGAATCCGGGGGAATTTTGGGGAATTTGAGGGGATTTAGGGGAGATTTGGGGGAATTTTGGGGGGAAAATGGAGAATTTTGGGAGGAAAAAGAGAAATTTTGGGAGAAAATGGGGAATTTCAGGGGGGAAAGGGGGAATTTTGGGAGGAAAAAGGGAAATTTTGGGAGAAAATGAGGAATTTGGGGGGTGAGATCCAGGATAAATGGGGAATTTTGGGAAGAAACTGAGGAATTTCGGGGGAAAAAGGGGAATTTTTTGGGGGAAAATCAGGAATTTGGGGGGAAAATGGGGGGAAAATTGGAATTTTGGGAAGAAAATGAGGAATTTCGGGGGGAGAATGGGGAATTTTGGGGGGAAAAAGGGGAATTTTTTGGGGAAATGGGGATTTTTTTGGAGGAAAATGGGGAATTTTGGGGGGAGATCCGGGGGATTTTGGGGGAATTTTGGGGAATTTGGGGAATTTCGGGCGGAATCCAGGGAAGCGCTGCCCCCCCCCCACCCACCTGTTCCAACCTCGGGAATTTTTTTCCCAATTCCGGCGAATTTTGGGGAACCCAGCCCCTTTTTGGGGTCCCCCAGGAATTCCAGGCCCATCAGGAAGGATTTTTAGGAAATTTTTGGGAATTTTTTTATTGGAATTCCGCAGGTTTCGGGTGGGGGGAGGGGCTCTCCCCCTCCTCCTCTTCCTCCTCTTCCTCCTCGGGGTTTTTTTCCCGATTTTCCGGGTTTTCCCCCCATTTTTCCGCCGGTTTTTTTGGTTTTTCCAGGTTTTTCTCCCGATTTTCCGCCGTTTTTTCCCGATTTTCCAGGTTTTTCCCCCATTTTTCCGCGGGCTCTCCCCGATTTTCCGCCGTTCCTTCCCATTTTTCCCGGTTTTTTTCCCGTTTTTCCGCGTTTTTCTCCGGCTTTTCCGCGGTTTTTTCCCGATTTTCCAGGTTTTTCTCCCGTTTTTCCGAGGTTTTTTCCGTTTTTTGCCGATTTTCCCGTTTTTTGCCCCGTTTTTCCTGCACCTCCCTCCGCAGCCGCTCCCGGAGCAGCCGCGCCGTCGGCTCCAGGCTGTGCTGGGGAAACGGCATTTTGGGGCAAATTGGGGGGATTTCGGGAAAAATGGGGATTGGGGGAGGAATTTGGGG